TAAATTTTTTTGTGTATATAAATTATTTCATTTCAATTTTCATTACAATTATAGTGTTTTTGATGTAGATATGTTTCAGATAATCATAAAAGGTTTTCCTATTCGAAGTTCATTGTAGAAGAGGTACCTAAAAATGAAAAAAAAAAAAAACTTTCGAAAAACTCTACGGTATATAGGGAGACGTGAAAATTGCTATCGTGTTTTTATTAAACTCAGTCAACCAATTTCCAGGTACGTAATTCAAAAGGGAATAATTCACAAAATTATAATCAAATATTACCCAAACATCCCGAAATATTAAATTTAATTTCTCAGTATGAAGTGACGTCGACGATACAAAAAATACAGGACCGTGTTTAAAAATTCAGAGATGGGGGTGGCCCAAGTCAGATGACACCCTGAATAAAAAATTCATTGACATATTCTGATAGATCACATCAAGTGCCAATTGAAAAATATGGACAGATTTTCAATATGTCTGTGAATAAAGAAGATATAGGCACAAGAATTATTTGGGATATTTTTGGTTTTTCCTGTAATCTCCAGAACCAAAAGAGCTATATTCGATTTTTTTACATCATTGAATAGGTCTCTAAAATACGCAACTTTGCCACAATTTAATCGACACTATCTCTTATCGTTTACGAGAATCCCATGTACAGAAACTAATTTGAATAGCCCTGTATATAGATTATGTATAGGCTACATGTAATTCAATCATAACCGTCCAACTACTATGAAAAAATAATAATGTGTTTACAAAAATCTGTATTGATATTTTATTTGACTACTCAATTTACACAAATATTTTCAATCTGTTGTGTAGTGTTTGAGAATGTGCACTCATTGACTCTCAATTGATTTTTGTTCCAATAATGTGTAATCAAGTAGTGTGCTTAGGTTCGCAAATTAAATGAATAAACTTACCTTTCGGGTAAAGTGATCACATCATCGACTACCGTACCAGAAGGAGGATTCTCCCCTATGTCAGTAAAAATCCTCGTGTTAATTCGTTTTGAAACGACCACAAATGCCATTTTCAAATCATTATTTTTATAAAGAGTTTCAGTCAATTTTTTTTTAATATTCTCCACTTCATGTTCAATAACATAAGGCAATTGTCCATCGCCAACCCCATCCCTATAAATCAAAATCTTCTCGGGATACACTTCATTGACCTCATTATATTTATTGCAGGCCAATGCCAGGAAAGCTGCAAAATTATCGCTCAGTTCCTCCTCTAAGCGATGCTCGGACACGTGGTTGAAATATCTTGTGGCGTTTCTGTCCAGAGATGCGACCATGCCCGCAAAACTCCTACCTCTGTTCGCCGTGTCACGACAAACATCATATCCAACAACCATGAGATTGGATAGAGGTATATTCAAGGACCAAGGAGCGCCTCCAATTTTACAATTCAATTGTATTGCCACTTTTGTTGCAACCGACATAGCACCTGGAAGCAAATCAAGATTCATATTAAGAATGTGGTTGAATAGTAAAATAAAAATTATATTAAAATTACAATTGAAATAAACGAAACCACATAAAAATACGGACTCTATAAACAAACTACGGTCAAATTATCTAAATAAAGATAGTTTGAAGCTGATTTGCATTTGCATAACGCCTCTAGTGTTGTAGTAGGGGATATTGCTCAGTTCTGAGGGTATTAGAATAGTTGTAGCTTGTAGCAGCTTGTAACACATTGAAAATTAACACAGTTGTGCAATCAATAAGGGCCTTTCATGTTCTCTAGCTCTAGAAGATGAATGCATTAGCCAATATTCTGAGTGCTTCTGCTGACAAAAAATGGCAAGAGAGAGCTAATTTCCCCATAGAATAAATCCATAGTTCAATTTTGAAAGGAACAGACAAAAATATACAGTTCACACCCAGTTTTTTAAGAGTCACAACATGGGGGTACCAACCTAGTTTTTCATCCTATTAAGTTTAAGAAGGTCCTCGTGTGTTAAGAGTTGTGTGTAGATATAAAAAGTTTTACTTTTCAAAAAGATAGAATTATTGATGAGTTCATGATATTGCTCCCCAAAGTTGATTGAAGTTGTGCCGTCGACAAACCAGACCTATTTATTGGGTCGAACAAATCGAGATCCTTCCAAGATATAAAACATACAAGTAGAGATCCATTTTTCAAGGCGAGATCCGATTTCGGATCTCGTCTTGTATCCCTGTGTATATAGAGTTCATCAGGTGTAAGAAGTGTGGGAAAAGGCATGATTGAATTTTTGTTGGGATCTCAAATTGGACCCATTTTGTGCAATTTTATACTCCAGAAGTTCCTCGATGTTGCCTACAGAGGGTGTGACAGTAGCATACACCGGTATCAGCTCAATATGCGTTTTACGGTAAACCTGAAGTCCGGTAAATTTGGCGTTATTGTGGATCTCGTATCACATTGCATTCCTCAAGACAATGTTCGAACGAGAATGGTGAAAAGGACATGACTCTTGATACATGCAATTTTGTAGGTCGTCAGATTTTTTAAATTTTTAGATATAGGTATTATTTTAGTGATCCAGAAAAGCAATTTTAGTTCGTAGAAGTTTTTTGTTACTGGACAGGGCGAGCCACAAAAAGTATTGTATGTCTAATATTTAAAAAGAAATTTGTCTATACATGCGTATTTTCTGTTGATTTCTGGATGTTATTTTTTTCAGACAAATCTTTTAGAAGAATTATTTCGTTCGTGTGTCTATAGGGTTGGCCAAAAAAGTTTTTGAATGTCGGTCACCTCTTATGGGAAATTCTGTTCTATGATCCTGTGGATTGTTTATTGAATTATCGATATGATTTTCTGTGCAATTGACAGAATTTTTGTTTAGTATGTATTCCTCGTTGGTAAAATTTGTATGCCCATATAAAGGGTGTCCCACAATATAGGGGACAAACTTTGATGGTGGAATATTCACTTTATTTTAGGGCTAAAAGTTCCAATAAACATATACCCTAAGATGAATAATAACCGAGTTACTGGGTGTTGAAAGTGACAAAAAATATATGTTTTCCAGATTAACTCCATAACGGCTCAACTTCTCTTAATTGAATTTGGTATGTCACATGACAGCATTCAGTTCCAAATTTCAATGCAAATCATGTGTTCGTAACTTCAAACAGGAGCGTACGGCAGGTGGGTGCCCCTAATCGCCCCTCCCCAAATTTCATGCCACTGGATTAATATCGATTTCGTTTTCTTTTTCTTAATCCCGAATATTTCTTACACAAAAAAGGGATAAGTTTCGTTTCACAAATATTAACGCTTTTCAAGATATTTTAAGTTGAATAAGTGCGTGAGTATCAAATAAATCTCCTGATTTTTGAAAGGAATGTGTAGGTAACTATTTATAATATTATAACCAACAGATTTCGTACCTTGCAATGAGTATGACTTTGAGCATTTAGAAAATTGTTTGCATTTCTGAGGGATTTTGTTTACAAAAATTTTCCGATATAGAAAAACTTACATAGCAACTAATGAGTATCCATATAACATACGCATACACTTATTCACCTTCAAATATCTGGAAATTCTTATATTTTCATTGGTCTTTGATATGTGTGCCAAATTTTAGATTATTCGGAGGATTGGATGTGGCTAAAAATGTGCTTGCACACACACCGATTTTGGACGGGCAGTATAAAATAGGCCGATATTTTATTGGTAGCGAGTGCTTGCACACTCACCGGATTTTTATCGGTCAAACAATCAGTTGTTTTGTTGTCGTAATTAGCACGCACTGCCTAAACGAAGTCAATGCGTAGTAACTACAATTTCATCGAGCATTCGAGACTGGAATGGTCGATAAAAAACCGGTGAGTATGTAAGAGTGTATTTGGTCATGTACGCCACTACTTCCCGGTACTGCCGGTGATACAGTGGCAGTGGACGGCTGCTCACCGGTATTTTACCGGCGACGATCACCGGTCGGCGTGTGTGCCAGGTCCCGTTCCCACATGTGGTTCACTATTAGAATTTGAACGACCGGTACAAAGTCGACCGTCCAAAATCGGTGTGTGTGCAACTAGCGTTAGATTTCTGCCGCATCACGGCAAACCGGTATGATTTTTAGATTGGAGAGCAGCGTGTCCATCATTCCACCAAGAACTCTTATGATCAGAACCACCATTTTTACAGAATGGTTTGGGTAGAGCCTGCGGAGTTCAAAGAGCAAGTCTCGATATTTTGTCCGTTTTTCCTCCTCTTTTCGGACGATGCGATGTTCATTTCGCCAGGAGACGAAAACTCTATGACGAACATCGTCTTACTTTGATGGTCGAGGACATCATTATTATTATTATTATAATTATTATCATTATTCTCATCACGAAATTCTTATATTGTCATTGGTTCTTGATATGTGTGCCAAATTTTATATTCTTCAGACGATTGGAAGTGTGTGAAAATTAACTTCCAAGATTTTATTACATTATTTGTTAGTTACAGGTGAACCAAATAAAAGCGTGTTGAGAAAAGAAATAATTTTTTGCCACCTAGCATGGGTTGATAATGAGTAGCACGTCGTCGACTAGAAGAGTGTTGTACAACAGGAAAATAATAGCGTAAACTTTTATGAAATCAACAAAATGTGAATATATTACTGCAGTCATAATTGAACGTTTTATTGAATGTTAGAAATCCTTATTTAGACACATTTCATATTATTGCTCGCGTTCTCTTGTAAAAGTAGAGTAGAAAGGTTAAGTCTTTTAGTTGATGATGAAATGGTATAATTCTCTAGACTCTAACGGAGTAATAATATCCTTGGTGAAAAGGAATAACACAATTATTATTTGTTTCCACTTGTAATTCCACCAACTTCAATATATCAATATATTCAATATATTTTTAAATTCAATTGTGTGTTTAAGGGCAACTGAAATTGACCTGTTCCGATGCGAACTAATGTCTAGCACGTGGTCTTTTTATCAAGCACCTGCTTGATCAACAAAACTTTTGAACATGTAACAGCACACCTAGATAATGACAAATGAGATTTTGTCGAAACGTCGGTAAAATTAGAGATAATAGCACATACACGGATCATATTCAGCATATTCCTATCCGTGAAAACTTCAGATTTCATATTCTGTCCACATATTTGCATACCCCGACTTGACGAGTGACAATCGAGTTCCTCTTAAGCTATAGTACTTTTTGGGAAGAATGTGGTGAGAAACACAGTCAAAGGTCTTGCCGAGGTCGTACAATATAATAACAATATACTCACCCATTTGAAAACCCTCGAGTAACTCTCTGACAATATTCACACATCTGATGATGTTGATTTACCCTTGCGAAAACCTAATCGAATGTGATCCAGAAAACTTTCATTTCAAAATATTTCTCAATTTGATTTTTCAAAATGATTTCGATGATTTTGGAGAATACGCATATTATTATTTATTTATTTATTCATCATCCAAACGAAACTATTACAGCCTAATTACATGGATAAAAAAATTGAAGTTCATATAATCCTTGAAATATGTATGAAAATGGTGAATTAATAAAATAATCCTCAGGCAGGCACAAAGTATATGATCTGCTGTTTCATTGTTAATGAGGTACCCGGATAGTCAAGTAATTGAAAATAATTGGCGTCGCTGTTCTAAAGGTAATATTCAAGCCCAATATCCGACTACCAGATTTTATAATATCTCACATATGATTAACAAATGAAAATCGTGCATTATATATCAACACTAGATCTTTGGTTAGAGTTTTTCTTTCTTTCAAGAAACACAAAATCCATTTCATACCTATATATGATTGGCTCCTCTAGGCGAGTTATTAAGATTGAAATTATAATATCACAGCCCTATTAGATATAACTCAAGAAATGTAAACGAAATTATTATTGAAAATGATTTGAAATTCGTTAAAGCGCTTCACCTGCCCATAATACAAAATACTTTGTTTCTGGACTGCAACAATATACTGAGAAAGTCAAACTTCATGAGTGATAATCTGTTATAATCTGTTTTTCTGTTAATCAGCTGCCGCCCCCATACGAACGACAACTCTCAGAAGTTAAGAAACTTGTGCGAGCTAAGGACTAACGAGGTTTTACCTTTTAACGTGTGATTCCTAACACTGTTGCAGAATCATTCCAGCTTCAACCAGATAAATTCTCTCGAGAAAAATATCTGTCCCAAACGGGAATCGAACACACAACCTTCCGATCGTGAGTCTGACGCACTACCACCGCGGCCAATTCCACAAAGTGATGGCACCACACTAAATAGAAGTGTAAAATTTTATATCAGTAAGTCAATACTAGAACTTTCGGGCCGTTTCAGAACTAATGCTGGATTTACTAGAGAGTTGAACAGCCACACACAAATAATAACAATCAGCAGAAACAACAAGATTTAAAAATTACCAAAGACACCTTACATAATGTCAACCTGAGGTTGGAATACAAAGACCAAACT